CCTCCCCGCTTCCCCTGGCCCACCCCCTCACCGTTCGGACCCCACTTGTCCCGTCCCTTGCGGAGTTGCTCAGACCCGAGGCCGGTTGTCTCGTTGACGCCGAAGTGCCTGAGAACCTCGTCCACGGTGCGGGTGTGAGGGGCCTCCATGGCGCCGCTCGCTGTCGCCCTCGGTCAGAGGTGCGTGTGCTGGGGCAGCCCCTCCTTCTCTCTCTCTGTCTCGTCTCGGTCTGTCACATATACACGATCCCACACTGTTTTCAAAACCCCCCACAACCTCCCCCTCGATCACGGCGACGCCATGACACAGAAACCCGGCTCCACAGCCGTCGCTGACTCTACCGGGGACCAGGGAGGAAGGGACTAATCCTGACAGACAGCCGCTCCGTCCAATCGTAATCGGCTCCCACCGGGAGGACCGAGGGGGCAGCCCAATAGAAAGGCAGGATTGCACTAAGTGGGCGGGGTCTGTCCTACACCCACCCACCGGCACGGCAGCATCTCCAGCGCATGCGTTCTTAACTCCTAACGGTCGCCGGCCGCCGCGGGGCGGGGCCTTTCTGCTAGATGGACGTCCTTCAGCGCCAATGCGGAAGGGCGCGTGGCCGCCCGATCACCATTCGGACAACGAGATTCTCCACCGCGAGCCCGCCTACAGGGCTCGACCAATGAACGACCGTCAGCCTAACATCGCCCCAATCCCGCTCGACTAAAGTGGCGGGATGTACCTCGCCCCGCCTTCTCTGGCGACGTGGATGCTTCCAGTTGGGCCGTTGGTTCCCCCGGCAATACCTCCTTCACCCGGCCGCAGGCGCTTGCGGGATTTCACGGCGCCAATGAGGAGGCGGTAGTTGGCAAGAGTTGACCTTGTCAAACCTTGGAGGACAAGTGGTGGTCCTCCTGGGCGAGTTGGTGGCCCATGCAGATGAAGCGATGATTTTTTTTTTGCCATGGTGTTTTGGTTCGAGAGATCTTTGAAAAACAAAGATGCCTTATTGGTTTTTCTTTAAAATTGTTTTTTTTTTCCGCCCCTCCCCAGAAAGAGTTTTTTGTTTTGGAGAGATATAAATTTTAATAATGCCAACCCGTGTCCCCAGCCCTAAACTGGCCCCTCGGGGATGCACTCTGAAAGATCATGAGGAATCGGAACAGCTGTAGGCCATTCGGCCCCTGAGTCTATTCCGCCATTCAATGAGATCACTGCCGATCTGTCGCCTAACTCCATACTCCTGATTTTGGTCCTTAATTACCTTTGCTGAACAAAAATATATCGATCTCAAGGTTTAAAATTAACAACTGATCCAGCATCCACTGCTATTTGCGGAAGAGAGTTCCAAACATCTCCCACCCTTCCGTGTGTCAACGTGCTTCCTAACATCTCTCCTGGACGCTTTGGCCCTCATTCTCAGACTCTTTTCCCTCGTTATAGAATCTCCAACCAGTGGGAATCATTTATCTTCATCGACCCTGACTTTCCCTGCAAATATCCTGAAGACTAAGGTTTATAGTTCCTTGAAAGTGGAGTCACATGTAGACACGGTGGTGAAGAAGGCATTTGGTACACTTGCCTTTATTGGTCAGTGCGTTGAGTGTAGGAGTTGGGAGGGTCATGTTGCAGCTGTACAGGACATTGGTTAGGCCATGATTGGAATACTGCGTTCAGTTCTGGTCTCCCTGCTATAGGAAGGACTGTGTGAAACTTGAAAGGGTTCAGAAAAGGTTAACAAGGATGTGGCCAGGGGTGGAGGGTTTGAGCTACAGGGAGAGGCTGAATAAGCTGGGGCTTTTCTCCCTGGAGCATCAGAGGCTGAGGGATGACCTTATAGATGTTTATAAAATCATGAGGGGCATGGATAGGGTGAATAGACAAGGTCTTTTCCTCAGGGTAGGGAAGATCAGAACTAGACAGCATAGGTTTAAGGTGAGAGGAGAAAGATTTAAATGGAACGTAAGGGACAACTTTTTCACACAGAGGGTGGTGCATGTATGGAATGAGCTGCCAAAGGAAGTGGTGGAGGCTGGTACAATGACAACATTTAAAAGGCATCTGGATGGGTATACGAATAGAAAGGGTTTAAGAGGGATAAGAGCCAAATGCTGGCAAATGGGATTAGATTAATTTGGGATGTCTGGTGAGCACAGACGAGTTGGACCGAAGGGTCTGTTTCCGTGCAGCACATCTCTAAGAGTCTATAATAACAGATACCCAGGAGTCAGCTACAGACGGGACTCTAATCGAGGGGTTCAGGTTAGAGGGGGTTTAACTGCAGAATAACAGATTCCAGGAGTAAGTCACAGATAAGAATCAAACCAAGGTACTCGGGGTGGTTTATAATTTGAATAACAGATACCCGGGAGTGAGTTACAGACTGGAATCTGATCGAGGGGTTTGGTGTGGTTTATATATAGAATAACAGATACCCCGGGAGGGAGTCACAGACTGGAATCTAATTAAGGGGTTTGGGGTGGTTTATATACAGAATAACAGATACCCGGGAGGGAGTTATAGACTGGAATCTAATTGAGGGGCTCTGGGTGGTTTATATACAGAATAACAGATACCCGGGAGGGAGTTACAGACTGGAATCTGATCGAGGGGTTCGGGGTGGTTTATATACAGAATAACAGATACCCGGGAGGGAGTTACAGACTGGAATCTGATCGAGCGTTGCTCACTTGCTGACTTAAGAGAACTCTGTGTTGACTAGATTTCGACCCATGGATAAAATTGGGATGATGAGACAGTTATGGTTGTGAAGTGAATATTTATTATAAAATTGAGTCATGTGTGCTTTGGTTTCTGAGATTGACGGAAAGCCACCCAGCAGCAGAGTACAGATGCGTAGCTCACCGAAAGCAGCAGAATCTTCCTTTTAAAAAAAAGACCGTTTAAAAATGCATAGAAATAGTTTCTGGGTAAAATAAATCTTTGAGGCTAAGAGGAAAGTCTGGGAAAACACATTGAGACAAAGTGCATAGAATTCATTCAGCCTGAGGCACTGAGCTGGTTATTACAGAATCAATGAACCCGGGAGCTGGTTAACCTGAGAGTCTCCTGCACGCAGTCAGCTCCCACTCACAGGGCAGGCGACACCATGCTCCAGCTCCCACCACTCGGCCGGTAAATCGATGGACGGCTGTGACTATCATATCATCTAATGGGAGAGAACTATATCAGTTACTGAG